TCCGCTATTGTTGGGGGTGGGGGCATAATAGCCTCTTCCGATGAGGTGGATGAATTATTATTATTTTGGGAGGGTTCAGGCCTCCTCATCTGCATGCACCGTTGCAGGAAGCTCCTGTCTGTCTGTCGCAGAACTGTGGATGGGTATAGAAGGAGATCTAATGTCACCTCTGTGTGGGCTATATCGGCTACCGTGATGCCTGCTGTAGGACCCCCATGGGTTCCAGTAATGCCATTGTCAGGGGAAGGGCATGGGTGCTCCCATCCACCGGTGTCCATACCAGGGTGGTAAGTCCCTGGGTCTTCTTGGTCCCATGCTAGTCGGGGTGTGAAGGGGGGAGGAATGGTATGGTGAAAAAACTCCCTCCACTTCGTCGTCCCCATCACTAGAAAAGTGAGAGGGAATAGGGGATAGCTGTCGGTGCTGTGCTGACGGTCCCGGTGAGAGATCGGTACCAAGTAATGGAGAATGTGGAGTTGGTGAGATTAGAAAATCGCTGGAATGAATAAATTGTGGTGCCATGGTAGAAGGATCCAGAATATATAGCGCTGAGTGTGGCGGGGGTACCAAAGGGTCGGCCGGTGCCGATTGTTGCAGCACATTGTATGCATAGTCATAAGTGGCTGAGATGTCGGTGCCGGGACAGCAACCATACTTGTGCGCATCACAGGCATGCTCAGCTGAGTAGGCACTGAGTCCTTTGCGGTATTGTGTGGTGCTGTATTAGAACAGGCAGGAAACTTTAAGCCCTGTTGCCTCGGCACCGGCGTGGTGTGTACCAGCAGCAGCTGGGGTACAGACAGTGCCGGAGATGCCCAGAGCGTTGTATGTGTTGAGCCACAGAGCGGTCGGCACCGACGAGACAGACCTGTTCGGAGACCATTTGGATGCTGGCTGGTCTCTGTGAGGTGATGAAGCTGGCTGTTTGTTTTTCTGTTTTTTTCTTCTCCTTCGTGGACTTAGGAGGGCTCTGTCTCAAGTAGGACTCCTGACCTGGGTCAGAGGCAGGTCTGTGGGACTTCTCCATTAGGATTAACTTGAGTCTCTGTCCTTTTGTGCCCTACCCTTCAGTTTATTGCAGTGGACACATTTTTGCGGGACGTGGGATTCTCCCAAACAGTGAACACATTGAGAATTGCCATCAGAGATAGTGATGGCTTCTCTGCACGTAGTGCATCTCTTAAAACCTGGCAAGCCAGGCATAGTATAAACTGTCTCGCTGACAGAAAAAGAATGGGAAGGAAATTTTTTTTTTTAAGAGAAGGGAGAAATGAAACTTATTTGACTAGAAAAGACTACATAAACTGTATAAACAACTAATAATCTATCTAAAGCGAGAACTAATTGAGCGAGATTGCTGAGCTTCGTCTCAGGCTGGGGACGATAGAAAAGGAACTGAGGAGCCCGGGCCGTGTGTGCGTGTTACTGAGGTACATTCAGCGCATGAGGCAGGCAGTGCACGTGTGAGTACTGCTGTAAAAATTTCCAAGCGAAGGCGCAAAGGCGCACCAACACCTGGAGTGGAGCACCCACAGGGACAGCTCTTGAAGAAGAAGTAGTGGTTTCAGAACTGCTATGGACTTTGCATCGTATGTTGTGAACTAGTAAAGATGAATTATTTTCCAAATAATAGAATTTTATTCAGTAACAAAAGCTGTGCAAAGAGAAATCTGTGCAATTTAAAAGCAAATATATTAAAAAATGAATACATGACTGGAATAGAACTTAACAAGGGATGTTCATTTTACCTACACATACAGCAACCGTGGCTTTCACAGGTCAGCGTAGGTGAAGCTGTGGCTGTCTTTAATGTCCCTCACAGTGGAGTAGTAGGGGTAGGGATGCGGGCCTTGATGCTGCAGGGAATATTGAGGGGGCTGTAGGGAGATGTTGCTTGGAGTTACCCAGGAACTGCAAAGGGAGGTACCCCAGGATTGTTGAACCTGTAGGTCCACAAGAGTCTTCAGCATCTGTGTTTGCTACTGGAGAAGCCTCACTGTGTCTGGTGCATCTCCCTCTCCACTTCCTGCTGGGAGTCCTGGGCCTTTCTCCTGTCTGCTCTTTCCTTCTCCAGGGTCTCTGCAACATTCACCCTTCAGGCCCTGTGCTCACAGTCTGATGCAACATTGACTTGCAGGATCTCACTGCACTTGTCATCCTGAGTCCTCTTCTTTCTCCTCCTTATCTGGCTCAGGCATGCCAGGTGTGTGTCGGGGGAGCCCCCTCAGGTCTGCAGTGGCAGCAGCTGCAACAAATCATGGAGTTACCGCTGTCAGTACAGTCACAATGGAAAGTGAAGATTCAGAACTCCTTCCCTGGCTCCCCATAAGATTTAAACAAGACATGCTTACTGTCACTTCCGCTTCAAAGTGCTTGTGCACCGTGCCACTCAAAGCACCAGTCACGCTGAGAGTGGCCTGCCTGGGTGACAGAAGTGAAAAGGGAATTGCTTGGCTGCATGAGACTATGAGTATAGGGCTATGGCACTGAATACTGGCACCACTGTCCACAGGCAGTGGTGATTTTAGCTGATATCTCCCTCCTGAGGGTATCAAGGGCACAGAGAGCACAGCTGTTGCTGGCATCCTGAAGTCGCTTTGGCCAATATGCTCCTAGCCTACGTACTGCAATGGTGCCAGCCTAAGTTATCGCTGACTGGTGTGGGAAAGCGTCCTATGGCAGAGGAAGAAATAAAACTGCCATCCCTAGAAACCTTTGGCAGGGGATTGCAGATACTGCCAGGAAAGTTCCATTGCGATTTCTCAGGAGGATTCAAGGGACACCTCTGTGTTCCCAAACAAACCGCTCCACATGCTCTGCCTGCCTAACTCTCCAGGGGAATGAAAAGCAGATAAAAATGCTCTCTCTCTTTCATGTACCGCTACCTGTTCTAGCACAAGTCAATTAATGAAAAGTTGATAGCTACATCCTGTTGGATTGGGGGCCCCATCAGTACATCATTTCAATGGGAAATACAATTACACACTTACCCGAGCTTTCTTCCCCTGCATGGGCTCGCCTGTGCCTGACTGCTGGGACTGACTGGACTGCGGTGGAGACAAAAACAGGTCCTGGCTCACGGCATAGCAGGACCCCCGGTCAAATGTTCCTCTTCCTTCTCCTCCTCCTCCTTGCTGTTCATGCAAGGTGCTGGTGACTTAAGCTCCTTGGAGGTCTCTACAGTGGTCTGTGGGGTGGAGGTAGGCTCTCTCTCAAGTAAGGCATGCAGCTCTTTGTAAAAGCAGTAGGTCCGCAGCTCAGCAGCAGATTGACATTCTGATATTCTTGATGCCGTTCCTTCACTTTCATGCGGCACTGCCACTGATCCCTGCGTACCCCTTCTCCTGTGTCCCCTGTGTAATCTGCTCAAAGATGTCCACATTTCTACAGCTGGTCCATAGCTGTGCTTGCACAGCCTCTTCTCCCCATAAAACCAGGAGATCCAATATCTCCTGTCTACGACAAGCCGGAGCACATCTGGAGTGGGTAGCTGGCATGGGCAGCTGGACAGTTGCACACAACAATAGAGAGCTGCTAGGTGTCTCGCCAAGCTGGACAACCAGGAGAAGACATTTCAAAAATTCTTAGTGCTTTAAAGGTAGGGTTGCCTTCTGGTCTCCACTGACCCCTGGGCAGTGGTGTTCACAATTGTGACCCGAGTGGTTAGTGTCGGGCACTGTGGGACAGCTGCTGAAGGACTGGTAGGGTCAACATAAGTAACGCAGTGTCTACACTCACACTTTGCCAACCTCAGTACATAGTCCCTGGCTCAAAGCTGTTCTGGGAGGGGATGTTACTGCAACGCTGGAATGGGGCACGTACATTGGTGGGAGACAAATGTAAGTGTAGACACGTGCACAACTAGGTCAATGCAAGTGACTTATTTGCCAGTTAACCTAACATTGTAGTATAGACCAAGCTTAAGGAAGCAAAGTAGCATTTTTCCCCAGGAGATGATTAACCCATGGAACAGTCCGCAGAACGAAACAGTACAAGGAGGAAGCACAAAAGAGTTTGAGGCTAGGACAGATGTGAATATCAAATCCTGTTTCTGGTTCTATGTGCTCTAAAATGGGAGATGGATTAGGGGACCCGAAGGTTGGTTTTTACCTGAGAAATGCCTCTGTTTATGGCCAAGATCCTTGGTCAAGCTGTCTTAGCAAAGGCTCCAAGGACTTAAAGCCACCTTTGTAGCTGATCCCCTGAGCCTGAGGGTAAGCAGGGGCTGACTCAGCCCCCAGCGTAATTTAGAACAGGGTAGGTTACAGTTCTATTGGCCCAGGATTGCAAGGCACTCTCAGCCATGTCCTCTATTACCTCCGACAGCTAGGGAGGCCAGTACTGGGTGGTGCTTATATGGCCAGACCAACTCCATGCTACATTTGGACTCCCCTACACAAGGGATCTCCTCAGCTGTCCTTTATGGCAGTTCTCCTCCTGCAAAGGTGACAGAGTGGGGGCTAAGGATCTAGCCCTCTGGACTGGCCAGTGATTGTTCTTTGGCAGCATCTTTTCTCAATCCTAGAGTGGTCAATAATTTCAGGCTGCTACCCCAGAGCCTATTTGCTGCCCTCTGAAGGTGCAGATTTACAGCTTTGGCACATATGCCACATTTCCCCCTCTTTTCCTGACTGTTATCTGAGCATTCACTAGGGCTGCAGCTTTAGTTGCAAGATCATCTAAGAGGGAATTCTGGGAAAATTACTAATAATCAGAAATGATACTACAAAGGTACCAGTTGCCTGGATGACGCTTAGCTAGAAACATTGTACTGTCCCTCTGAGGTGTTATTCCTTTCTACACATTTACATTTGCTTCCCATGCCAAACACTCAAAGTGAATAGCTGGAATCATTTTATGCATGTGATCTCCATATGTCATTTTCAGACCTAGTAAATTTCAGCATAGGTGTCATCCATCTACACTCCCAGTCACATGCATGAAATAAAACCACATGCGTTGTACACATTTTTTGAGATTAGGAGGTGCAGCCTGAACAGGTTACCTTCAGTTTTGATCCTCAGTGCTGTTCTGACCAACGCAAAGAGGGTGGCATTAAACATGACAGTCCCATCACTGTTCAGTGGCATATTCATAGAGACTAGGCGCTAAGGGGTAGGGAGAAGAAACAGAACAATCATGCAGTCAACACACACTACTCAGCAACACGTTTTTTCTCATGCCCTCACACCACCCTCCTGACTTATCACCCCTCCCACCAATGCGGGCACAGTCCATGTGCTTGGTTACCCAGATAGGAAAGGATGCTTCATATCATAACAGTAGAATGTGTTTGCCCAGAGGCATATACTATAGTACCTTAATGTGGATAACCCTTTCTAGGCCAGGACATACTTTATCTCTCCACTTTCCCCAGAAGCAAGTGGGCATGTACCCACAATGCATCTACGCAGACTGGTATTTATTACAGTAAAAGCAACATTTTACATTTATATGGCATCTTTAATTCCTAATGACTGTGAAGTGCTTTGCAATCTATAAGGAATCACTTTGCCCACCACTGAAATGTAGCTACCTCTGGTGCAGAGCTGTTTAATAGATCACAGAAACTCTCCACCACCTTTTAGGACATGAAGTTAATACCATATCCCACTGCAACTGCATGGAGAATTTTAGTGAGGCAGACTATAGCTGTCTAAATCAGAATGTGGATGATAAACTCTAATTAACATCCTTCCCCTTGTGCCAGATGATCTATAATGACACAAAAGCCTTGATTTTACATTTTATCCTAAAGGTGGGACTTTCACAAACACTTTGCCCCCAACACCTCCACACTGGGCATGGTTCAGTGCTGACTTGGAGGGAAAAATGCCAGCTGCTGACTCCCCAGCTCCACTTTCTGCAGTTACTGGGTTTCAGTGATTCAACCAGACCCTGCTTAGCAAGAAAGATCTGGTAAAATAACAGGCTGAAGTGATCTGGTTGCAGCCACGAAAAGTAATGTATTTCTGCCCAAAGCTTTGTTATATTCTAAGACTGATAATAACCAGCTACAAGAGGAACATGTCAACTTTATAAGACTCTGAAGAAGGACAAATCTGTCCATAGATGAGAAAGGAAACACTAAAGGTAGAAACAGATCCGTCACAAGGGAAAATCCTTTCTGATGACTGGAAGCTTTTAACTAAGGAACTGAGGAGGAAATTTTCACACAAAGATTCTCCTCCTCTCCCATCTCCTCTTATTTCAATATGTAGGTAATACTGCTGTTTAGTATGTAGACATTATTTCAGAATCATAGAATCATAGAATATAAGGGTTGGAAGGGACCCCAGAAGGTCATCTAGTCCAACCCCCTGCTCGAAGCAGGACCAATTCCCAGTTAAATCATCCCAGCCAGGGCTTTGTCAAGCCTGACCTTAAAAACCTCTAAGGAAGGAGATTCTACCACCTCCCTAGGTAACGCATTCCAGTGTTTCACCACCCTCTTAGTGAAAAAGTTTTTCCTAATATCCAATCTAAACCTCCCCCACTGCAGCTTGAGACCATTACTCCTCGTTCTGTCATCTGCTACCATTGAGAACAGTCTAGAGCCATCTTCTTTGGAACCCCCTTTCAGGTAGTTGAAAGCAGCTATCAAATCCCCCCTCATTCTTCTCTTCTGCAGGCTAAACAATCCCAGCTCCCTCAGCCTCTCCTCATAACTCATGTGTTCCAGACCCCTAATCATTTTTGTTGCCCTTCGCTGGACTCTCTCCAATTTATCCACATCCTTCTTGAAGTGTGGGGCCCAAAACTGGACACAGTACTCCAGATGAGGCCTCACCAATGTCGAATAGAGGGGAACGATCACGTCCCTCGATCTGCTCGCTATGCCCCTACTTATACATCCCAAAATGCCATTGGCCTTCTTGGCAACAAGGGCACACTGCTGACTCATATCCAGCTTCTCGTCCACTGTCACCCCTAGGTCCTTTTCCGCAGAACTGCTGCCTAGCCATTCGGTCCCTAGTCTGTAGCTGTGCATTGGGTTCTTCCGTCCTAAGTGCAGGACCCTGCACTTATCCTTATTGAACCTCATCAGATTTCTTTTGGCCCAATCCTCCAATTTGTCTAGGTCCTTCTGTATCCTATCCCTCCCCTCCAGCGTATCTACCACTCCTCCCAGTTTAGTATCATCCGCAAAATTAGTATCATTTAAGGAATGATAACTCATCCCAGGTGCATTATTAGGTACAAGGAAAAATCTAAAAGCTATTTCCCCTCCCCTGTTATTTCTGTCTATCCTTCAGAGACCATATATAGTGTATCTATTTATCTGTCTCTACTGCATGCATACATCATTGATATTTGAAGACTACAGTTATCCAAGAGCCTTATTAGTGATATGGCTAATGGATTCCCACCAGGGCACTGAATTCAACTAGAAACTGCCTGCCATCTCTCAGCAGAAGAGCCCTGGGGGAGGTTACTCCCATCTGAAACAGGCAGGAGATAGGATTACAGAATACTGGGTTATCGGAGTAAACGCATACTATTCCTGGCTTCCCCATTAGGGGGCAGCAGACTTCCTCAGATGGGTCTTTATAGCCTACATGACTCTGTTTCCCCCAGATAATATGTCTATAGCATCTACCACTATGTATACCTGATCATTCCTGTGCCAGGGATTCTGCAAACTCTAGCAAGGAGTCTATAATGTAGGCTAACAAATGGCCTGACTAGAAGCTAAGACAGCAGCAAGCAGTGTTTACCAGATAATTCGCCAGAACCTACGCTCTAGATTATCAGTAAATGAAGCTGTAATTTGTTACATCTGTGCTTCCTCTGAGATGTTCTTCCCTCCTCCAACCTCCCCCCAACTGCACTGTCTTACTTTGCAAGCCACTCGATGAGGACAGAGCTTCCCAAAGCCCAGCGGAGGCTGAATCCGCCGGAGCAGCGTCACCACGTCCAGGTGTTTGATCCGTCCCCTGGGGAAGAAAATACAATATCAATGATATAAGGGCCTGCCAATCCATCTGGAGAGGGCCTGAGAGCAGATGCTGTTAGAAACATATATATGAGGTCTCCATCCCAAGATTGCCAGAACCATTCTGTGTTAACGTGACATAGCAGGTGGCTTTATACAGTGCCTCTCATACTAAGTGTATCTCTCCAGGCTTGCACTGCCATGAGTTAGCTCCTACTAGTTTGACTGTGTAAGAAAACACAACAATCATTATACACTTAGGCCAATATTGCAAAATTGGCCATGGATTTCAGTGCCTCAGTTTCTACGTGCCCAACCTGACACTGTGGGCACCCAAAATATTGAATCAGCCAAAATCAGTGGTCACCTTTGAAAACATAGGCCTTAGTAAACAGCATTGCAGACAGGGCTGGCCTTGTGACCCATGCACGAGGTTTCTCTTTTCCTTGTGCTCTGTTTCAGACACAACCCTGATCCACCATCCCTCAATTCTTGTTTATGCTCCTATCTGTCTCTGCGGCCAGCGGGCAATGCAAAGAATCCAGTCCCTTAATGCCTCCATACACCCATTTTGAAAGCTGCAATTTGGCTTTCCAAACTTTGTAAATGGGTCACCAAAAGTGAAAAACTCAAACGGGGAAGGGATGGGAGTTGCCACAACCAGAGTTGGAATCTCAGGCAGGCGGGGGTGGCATGGACATACAAATAGGATTGAGAAAAAGAGACCATTCACAGGTGGATCCTTACAGGTGATATATGTCATATGACTCCAGCAACCTTATGGCTAACCCTGTTTACAAACATCCTGGGGTTGTTTACACATGAGAATTAATCTGGAATAAAGAAGGATGTGAATTTCAAATAGGTTAACTATTCCCGATTAACTCCATGTGTGGATGCTCTTATTCTGGAAATAAGAGTGCCTTATTCTGAATTATCTTAAACCAAGTGGATTAAGCTAATTTGGAATAAAGCATTCTTATTCAGGAATAAAACCATCCACACATGGGGTTAGTCAGGGATAGTGCCTCAGGAATGGCTATTCTGAAATAACTTCCCATGTCAACATGCCTTGGACATTAGGCCTGTTTTATTAACAAGTGGAATGTTTATTTCAGCACGGAGGTTATCCCTTATCTTTATCGAAAATTGCTCTGGACAGCCACCAGCGATGGCCAAAAGGGACCTTTGTTTAAATGTCACTTCCAACAATGTGACACAGCCCCAAACGCTGCACAGCCAGAATTAGCTATGAATCCAAAGAGTCTTGAACTCATGATCTCTTTGTCAGAGCCAAGTAATTTACACCCACGTTAAGGCCCCTTTACAATGTCAGAGTGGCTTAAAGAGGTCTTGTGTAAATGAGCATCAGGCCCAAGAGTGTTTCCGACTGAGCCATATTGGTGCCTGTGGGTCAAATTCTCCTGTCAGTTGCAGTTGTGCAAACTTGTTAACGTCAGTGGAGTTGCAGGGGTGGAACAGAGGGGAGAATTTGGCCCTCCACATGCAATGCATATTTGCAGTGATGCAGGCTGTGGTGGGCACAACCACATAGTGGCTGGCTGGAATGACACATGGAAACACAAAGAATGAACGCTGCAGCTTTGGTGTGAGCTAAATATGGGATGCAGAGCAGAAGGCATAAAAGTTACAGAATCCGGGTCTTATAAGGGCTCAAAGACCTGTTTCTATGGCTACCCAAGAAGGGTCAGACTGGCCAGGTCTCAGGCCAGTACTACAGCAAGTGATCCAGTGTACCAATCCACTCAACAAGCCTCCTTCTTAATGCACATCCCCCACTGGCCTGTTTAATTAATCTGATAAATGGCCTATATTTTTCCAAGCTGTGCACAATTTAAAATTACGTGCAGCTGGGAAAAAAAATGCAGACCATTTACTAGACTTTCTACTGCTCACATATCCTGGAAGAGCTGCTTCTGTATCTGATTCACATGTGGAGAGATGGGGGAGGTTTCAGCTTCTGCTTCCCTTTTTGAGTTTTCACAGAGATTTACATATACTGTATTCTTGCCGGATTTGCTTCCTGCCATGAGAAGATGCCACCCTATTGCATTGGGTCTGGGATGCCAGACTTTTCAGAGAATAGAGACTGTGCATCAGAAGTTAGCATTTTCTAAAGTTCAGGTCCGGTCACTTACTTGGCTTCAGGGTCATACTCTGCCCAGATCCTTTTAAACTCGTCAAGGTGATGTGGCCCCAGAATGGACCAGTCCCGCGTCAAGTAGTCAAAGTTATCCATAATAACAGCTACAAAAAGATTGATAATCTGCAAAGACAGAGGTGATGTGAAGGAGGAGGCATGTAACATCAGACTTTCCTTGGCTTCCAGTTTGCATCCAAAGGCTGGATTTTGAATTATATGGTCCTGTGTGGTTTGACTGTCTCTCTTCTCATGAGTGACACCATGTCAAGTGAGATAAGCAGAGGCTCTTGATTTAAATGGGAAGGTGTTGGAGGCAAGATGTTCTCAGCAAGGACCCCTCAAATCTTGCCCCCCACAACTGATTGATGAAGCCCATGTTTGCTGAGCTTTTGGGTATGCTGCAAGGCCTACCTATTTATACAGGCTTTTTCCTGGGAGGGGCCTGGTTTTTTTCCCCTTGGGGGCAGAGTTGGAGTCATTTACTGGCATAGAGCCAAATGGTTTAAAAATATTGTAGACATCCTAGGAGGGTGTTTGGAGCTCTAACGGCCAGCTGCACAGTGCGTGCTGCAGTAGTGCGTAATAGCAGGAGAACTGTACTGCCAGGACGGAACAGATGCCAGTGGGATATGCCGTTTTCACAGTAATAGCAACAGTGGATAAAAAACAGATTGAAGGTAGGAGGGAAGGTGGGAGTGAGGCACTGGTGGCCTCACTTCAGACCTCAGGCCACTAATGTGTTCTTCTGATGGGGGGTATCCTTGTTTATGTTGTGACTGGCTATTGAGCTTGCTCTAGAGGGAGGCGCCTGAGCATGAACTGTGGGGATCAATTATCACTGTCATGTGAGGCCATTGTGGATAATGTGTATCAGATTTTCCATGTATGAGTTCACTTTTCTGCTACACAGTGTCAGTGCCCAGGGAAGTCAGGGGTTACTGGGCAGTCACAGGCCAGTACCATTTGTGCTGCCAATGCCGACTCACCAAAAAGGCACAGAGCATGTAGAAGCTGATGAAATAAAAGATGGAAAAGCTGCTCCCACAGGAATGGTCGCCTTCAGTAGAGTTGGTTGGCTCTGACTCGGGATCGCACTTCTTGTCTGGCAGACACGCAAGCATGATGTCCTGCCAGCCTTCACCAGTGGCACACCTGGGGATAAAGGGATACTTGAGAATGGGGAAGTGAAGTCAACAGCGACCACTTCAAAAGGGAAGCAGCAGTTAGCACATGAAGAGCCTTCTCCTGCTCTCATTGAAGTCATGGCCTACATATAATGGGTGATGGGACAGGTTTAACATGAACTGGCATGTCCCTCTCCTTCTACCTTTGTTGCTATCATAATGTTATCCATTACTGGAGCACCTGCTTTTGTATACTCTGGATACGGGGCTGCCATGTTCTGACCAGATGCTTGAGGAGATTTTTGTGGGGCTGGAAAGAGAGTGTACAGGGCTGGAAGGAGATCAGCATTTTGCTACTCCCATTTTGCATTCCCTCATCCTTTTCTTCCCTGTCCTCTCCTGAGCTGCCCATTTCCCTTGTCCTCATTCCCTGTAAACCCACAAGCAATGTAAGAGTGCTGTACCCCTGCAAACTCTTTCCTTCAGTACATCCAGTCCTCAGCACTCGCTGCCCTGCCTGACACAGATAGTCAGAGCTGGGTGCCAAACACCAGTTAGGGGAGGGATGATGTGTCAAACTGAGCAAGGAACAGTGCCCTGACTGGTGTTTGGCATCCTGAGTACATACTCCACAAGGGAGTGTCTCAGCTGGGGTGATCAGATTTGATGCTTCAGTGTGTAACTGGTCATCTCAGGGAGAAAGAAATAATTCCCCTCCCCCACACGTAGTCCACTGAACAACTGGATATATGAATTTGTGGGTGGGGGTATTGCCTTACTCTGATATGTCAAGTATTGGCCATTGCTGGAGGTACGAGATCAGGCCAGGCGGACCAATGGTCTTCCCCAAAATAGCAAATCCTAGGTTCTGGATTTGGGACATTGTATTTCTAATAACTCATGATCAAGATATGGTAAAAATGGAGAAGACATGTCCAGATGCACCCTCACAGACGCACCCAGTCCAAAGCTCCGAGACACGCACCTGAAGAGTAGCAGCACTGCTTGAGGGAACGTCTGAAAGTTGTTGTTGCGGTTGATATCCGTGGTATCATTCAGAGCAATTTTACCAAACACCTAGCAGAAAGCAGAAGTCTTGTCAACTTAGCCATGTAGCCCCCAAAACACTCTTGTCAGCTGTAATTCCTTGCATCTTAGTGATTATGAGCACTCAAGCCTGCCCCCTTCCTACAAGATGTTTCCTGCTGGTTTCCAATATTTGCTTCTGCTCCTCCTGTTTGTGCTATATCACTGGAAAAGCACCCACACAGAAACAAGAGGCACATTCTAATATACCATTAACATAACTATTCATTCATTATTGCATGTGCCATGAATAGGTGACATGGGGATCTCATTTCAATGTGCACTCACACTGGATGTTTTCAGTGTAAAGAAAAATAATGAGAGAGGAGAGGCTGCAATTTTTCTTCCCTTCGCTGGCTTTCCAGAGGCTCGGTCTGCACTAGGAGGAAAAGCATTGCAATAGACCACTGTCTGGACTGCCTTAAGTTCCCAGTGTCTGTAAGATGCCTTGCATCTGTACACAACAGCTGTGCCCTAGTACAGGGGAGTGCCTCACATTTGGAATTTACCCCAAAGGTTTATAGTGACAGTGCTTGGTGCTAGGAGATAGGTGTTTCAGGAGTCCCAGAATGTACTGGTGCAACCATGTCAGCCAGGTGTCCTGGGTGTGGTTGCTTCAAAACAGTTCTGACCCAAACCAGCACTGCTGCATGGACACTGGAACAGGGGCAAGAATTAAAAAAAACTATGGGCTGAATCCTGCAGTCCTTACTTGGGGCTAAACTCCCACTGAAGTCAATGAGAAGTATGATTAAGGACAGCACAAGGACATACAGGACTTGGTGCTTGACCCTGATCAAAAATGAAGGCAATGGGAGTCTTTCCATTGATTTCAAGGAGTTCCGGATCAGACTTTTTCTGAGTAATACTTGCAGTGCTAGTGAATCCTGCAATGGCTAACCAGGAGTGCCTCAGGCAGTGAATAGGGAGAAAAGAAAGAGCAGAACTGCTATCCAGAGAGAGGGCAGGGGAAAGAGAGAGAGCATAGCATGTGAAGAGGGTGTGGCAGGATGAGGAAAAGGAGAAATCAGAAGACAAGGAGGGGGGGAGGAGGAGAGGGCAAAGCATGCAGAGCAACAGTTACTGAGAGAGAAGACCTATCAGAAGCCTTGAAATATCATTTAAAGCAGAGGTTCTTCAATTCTGATCTGTGGAGCTCAGCTGCTCTGTGAAGTTACTGCCATCCAAGAGGCGAAGCTTTCATCATTGAAACAATATGAGGTCCCAATAGGAAGTTTTAATGGCTTCTTTGGATGCCTGCCAGAACTCCCTTGTATGCATGTGTTTGGGCTGCTATACAGACAGGGAAACCTATTAACAAGTCTCTTTCTATGTGTGTTTTTGTTTGATTGGGACTTTTTGGGTGTAAAATTCAACTTAATCAAATCTGCTGACAACACTGAAGCCAGGGAGGAAGTAAACACAGAGAGGCAAACTGCAGAGCGACCTATAGAGATTCGAGTCAGGGCTGTAAGCAATGCAGACAAATGCAGCACTAGTAAGCGCAAAGTCCTACATGTAAGGAGGAGAAATAAACAGCATAAGTATACAAGGGGGAAAGGTAACTAAGCAGCTAGCCCCATCATACCAAACTGACTTCATTTCTATCTTCTTTCCCAAACACATTACTGTCCTAATGGTACATTTTAGGAATTCAGTCACTCTAGTTCCTGCAGGGAAGATGTGGGAGTAGGTTGAGGAAGGCAGGTGTCCACCAGAGAATTGCTGTCTTAAGGATCAAGTAGTGGTCTGTGATACAAGCACAGAAAGGTTTAAGAGCCACTGATTAAAAACTTGGAAAAAAACCAAAGGTGCATCCCCATTCACGTCAATGGAGTTAGATCAGGGATGAATCTGGGCACTAAGCAGCCCACTTATTAAAGGGCATCCTCCTCAGTGAATGCACCTGTACTTGAATTTTGGTATTTATCAGAGCTGAGGGAAACTCTGCAATTTTGCTTTGCTAGGGCTTGTGCAAACATTTTCTTCAGTTGCAGTCCATGTGGATTCATCCACCCCTATCCCTTATGCTGCTTCGAGTTACACAGGGAGCAGACTGGCTGTGGGTCAGCCTTAGGATTAAAGGAGACTGGCATTAGGTCCCCAAAACTGGAGGAGCATAAAGGTGGGTTAAAGCTATCTTGGATCCCCACCAACTCCACCAGTTTTGCACCAAGCTCAGCTTAGTCAGATCACAGAATCTAGCCCACAGTCCTCAGCGAATCTTAGATGAGCAGGGTCTGAGTTTTGAGTTTGTAATGAAACCCAAAGGCAGGGGAGTTTCAGACGGTTTCAGGCTTCCTTGAAAGCATCTTGTACAGGTTTAGTTTTTATAGCCACCACTGCAAAGAGCTGAGGAAGCCTTGCCAGGCCAGAAAGTTCTCTTAGAACTTCATCTACTCAGGGCTCTTTATTCCCCATCTGACATCACCATGATGCCTATTTCATGGACAGAGTGCAGTAACCTCATAGCCAGAATGAACAGCAAGAACCGAGCGCCTCTGGAGGAACAAAGAGTCTCTTTGCATGCAAATATCCTCTGTAATAAAAAAATAAATAGAAGGAGAGAAGTACAGGGAGAATTACAGGAAAACAGTTCCATCTTAGAAGGGCCATCTTTAAATAGAATGCTCTTCAAGAGCCCTTTGGGCTTCTCCTGGTTCAGATCCCCCCTCTCTCTGGTGGGCATGACAGCCCCAGCTGCACTGAGGAGGCGCTGGGAGTAACTGTCGTGGGAGGACAGCTCAAATACTCAGAGGCAGCTTGAGTTGAGGCAGCCCATATTTTTCCTTTCAGCAGACAGTACATGAGGGAGTTTCCCTGTTGGAAGAGTCTGATTGTCCTTTTAACTACCCAGCTTCAACTCATACAAGGCACTGACAGTGTTACTACAGGCTTGCTACACTACTCAGCGGTGAAACGGAGCATGAGGGAAGAGCTGCAAGTAGAAGAAGATACAGGAGGAGGTTCCTCCCTCTTGTCCTTTCTAGACAGTGCCTCTTGGGCTATCATCAGATTGGTAGCTTCATCCATCAGCATCAATTTGTATTTTTCCACTTGTGCATGTGAGGTAGTGAGGCTTGAATATTGTTACACTTCATGTCAGAGAGGTAGCTAAGATGAACTGATAGGTCTCCTTTATATAGGAAATTCTTATGTCATTGTCAAAGTATTGTCATGCTTATGACATTGTCATCTAGGCTTTCAAGTGAGCTGCTCAACAGTGAGATACTGAAGGCTTTCTTCAAGAACTCTGCTTCAACAGGCTCAAGACAGCACACAAACCGGGGGTCATAAGTGCGAACTAACTACCTGTAATTACATTATTGCCTTTGGCACTGTATAGGACAACAAACATTATAACGGGTCTGAAGAATCTAAGTGATGAGGAACAATCAAAGACTTGGGCTTCTCACTGGAAAAGCAGAGACTAGAAGGTGACCTAGCAGAGATCTTTGGAATTTGGAAAGGGATCGACACAACTGATAGACATCTGGTTTTTCCACTCGTTAAAAACAGGAGATTTCTCACAAAAGATAATAGAATTATTGGATCATGCACCTAGATATTACAGTAACTCATTCGAGATACTATAGACAGATAGGCACACAGAGGTCATCATTAAATGGTAGTAGTAGCAGCTAGGTAAGTATAAGTAAGAAGTATTCCCAAATTGTTCCCTATACTATATAGGAAATACTAGGAAGATCTTGGTAACATTAGCTAGTTAGATTAATAAAGGCAAAACTGGAAAGTTTTAAAAGGTGACCACTCTAATTGGAGAGCTAAATAGACAGAGTTATTGAGGATCCAACAGAGACAGTCTAAATTAATTCAAGAGATAGCAAGCTTTGTTTCTTGAGAAAGAGGAGACCAGAGTAGAGAGTGAAAAGGTAATAAATTGGGATTATGATAAAAATAATTTAAAAAAATGAGACATAGCGAATCAGATGAATTTTGCCTAACCTTTCTTACGTTCTTTCTAACAATTTCTGGCTCCATTGTGAAGAATACGAACTGTGGGATGGTGAAAGACCTTTGGAAGTAATATACCATGCCTTTCTTTTTTTTGGTCTCTAACCTCTGATGGTCTGGTGGTTGTTCTGAGACTTTTGATTAACTAAGAAATGGAAAGTAAAGCTTAGTATGAAAAACCATCACCAGTAAGTGAGGCAGGAATGCAACGTATAGCTGGGACAGTCACATACTATGCACACATCAATAGCTTTTTCCACTTGTCTCTATACAGTATCAGTCATTTGCATAGATTAATGCTCATGCTGGTTCCAAATTTGTTTTCGTAAGCGGAATACAATATAGTACTGATGCAGCTTCATGAGGAATTGACACAAGTAAAGAGTTGAGATGTTGGGTCTGAGCATATCTTTACTTACACCTGTGTAAATCACGAGTAACTCTGTTGAAGTCAATGGAGTTACGCCAGTGTGAAAGTGGGGTGAGAGAATAATCAGGCCCGATCACCACCATGACCAGGAGCCATTTGAACTGGTTGCTGTGTGAAAACGAGCAAGCCAGTAAACCACCTTTGATATGGCTGTAGGGATATTCCTTTGGGAGGTGCTGTGAGGTTCTTTTTAATGTATACTCTGTGGTCTGCTACACAGTGTTTTTGTTTGGTTTGGCTGATGTGGCTGTCAAGTCCTATTGGCAGCGTAAACCCAGTCAATGTTTTTTGAATTGACTCAGGTTTATTGTCTGAGCTCAACTTCATAAATGCCTGATTATATGGCTAGGAGAGGAGCTACGTGTAGGACCAGAAAATGATCTGGTGACTTCTTGTGCAACTATCCTCCCCAGAATTTCATGTGTGAAAGATAACATAGCTCTTGAGAATCACCTACCTGCATTCCAATCACTGCATAGATGAAGAATAACATCACTATTAAAAGAGCCACGTAGGGGAGAGCCTGGAGGAAAAAAAATAACAGAACAGAACACATTGTATCAATTAATCAGATAACTTGGCATGCTGGAGCCAGGCTTATTTTACTGTGGCCCTGCTTTATCAAGATGGCCTGAGGAGAACAGTGCCAGTCCAGAATCAATTAAGGTCTGCAATTTATCCATTTGACCACTAGATGCCTCTAGTGATCCACATCTGATTTCACCAAGGTGCCTCAAATACAGCCATTGTATCACCCAAAACAAGATAGGCCCAATTATGCTTCCACTTACACTCCACAGACTTCAATGGAATCACTCTGTTGTACACCAATGAGAGTAAGACCAGAATTAGGTCCAATATCTGCTCGTCTTCCAAATGTAGAAATCTTATAATTAGCATTGCCCTGATATTAGCAGCAAGTGACGCTCTTTAGTGTGACATTCTGCAGCTACTTTGGTGAAATGAGAAGTGCGTAAAGTGCTAAGACCAAAGTTCAAGGCTTCTCCTGCTATGGCTGATGATATCACAAGCACCTAAAGCAGTATGAGCTATATTCCCTGCTCTGAGTTAGGTATCTATGATGGTTTTAGAGATGCGTTAGGTGTCTGTGATCAGCTGTTGAAAAGGAAAATGCAAAGTCCTGATAGCTGGTGCTGGCTTGTAAGTAGGAGATCTGCTCTGTGAGAGGCTGCATGTCCTCAGCTTCCACTACCTTTAACAGGAATCCAGGGCACTCAGCACATCACAGGGTCCCGTCGTAACAAAATTTTGTTTGTATTTTGTATAATGTAAAATAAAAAATAATAATGTAGCATGTATTTAATGTATTAATGTATGATTTGAGCATATCCTGCCAGCCACCCTTTTTGAATAGCGAAAAGGAATGGCCTAATATGCCATTGGTAAAAATCCATCAGCCAGAATTTCTTTGTATCTGGACTGATTTCAAGGCAGTAACAGACCTTTGAGGGTCACCATTTTGTGGTAGGTTTAGCATTTTAAAATAAGTAAAAGAATGCCATGATTGTTTGCTTTTGCATTGCAACTTGATGTTCCTGTTCAAAATGTTCTGTGTAAATTAATTCTGTTTTGTGTGTGAATGATGAATGTATGTATTAAAAAATAAGTGTGAAGGCCATCACTAAACCAGACGGTCTAGGGAGGAACTGGAGACAAACCCAAGGGCGCCAGGAGGTTGCAACATGCCCCTATTAAAATGTCAAAAAAGGGCAAATTAACAACTCTAAAAATAAAACAGGCACCTATCAATAAAAACAAAATAGCTGTAATCAAAACCAGCATAAAATAATTCCCTAAAAAGCTTAATAAAAAACCAAAATAAAAAATAATAATAAAAAAACCAATAAAAAACCAAGCACTCATCAAACAACAATTAATTACAGCATAATGGTGCAAAACTCATTAGTCCCAACAAAAAAAAATCACTATAGAAACAGGGTTCCTTGCCATAAAACTTTGGGCTTGTCCTGCCAAGACTTCTCCAGAGCATCGTGTCGTGACCGACAAAACCCGGCTCCTCCCTACCTGTGATCAACCTAGCTTGCCACTAGATTGATCCGGACTCTGGACTAGTAACTATAACATCGACTGGTGGAACAGTGCGTGTGTGTATGTGTGTGATATGATTGAATGCATATGCTAATTGTTGTATCTTCAATAAAGGCGGAGTATTGCCTTTTCTCCTAAAAAAAAATCCCGTGTGCTTATAAGCATAACAGTCCGGCTCTAAAAGAGAAACTGACTTTCCACCTTCTTGTTTTTTAAAGATATTTAGCAGAGATGGGCTCAAGCCACGGAATTCAGATCTCCATTCTGAGTCTGAACACCTCAAAGTTTGAGGGTGTTGCGATCTGAGATTTTGGTTTGGTCCATTTTACAGATCTTAGAGCCATCTGCAAAATTTGGATACTGACCCTGATTTGGGTGCTGAACACCTTCTCTTTTGGGAGTGTCTGGTCCAGAATTTTGTATTGTTATTTGAAATTTCATTTGTAGATTTTAAGTTTACCCCTACGTTTCATTAGGGCCCAATCCTGCAGTCCTTATTCAGACAGAGCTGATTTCCATAAGTGTTTTGATAAAGTAAGGACTGTCGGATTTGTCCATGAGTGAACTAGAATCTTAAAACAGGATTTAAACCTTAGATCTATTGCATTTACCTTTAAACAATCCATCTAAATAATCAAAATGGAACACAAGGCAGGGAAATCTTCGGTGTTCTACTAATCCTAATGGGCAAATTAATCCCTGTGGTAATTCCAGGCTACAGTAGAGGTAAACCAAACTGGAATTTGGGTCTGTAAATTTGGAGACAGCCCTTATGGGTCAAATCAAGGTTATGAACTTGGGGATAGCTGAGACCCCAAAAGTGGTCCAGGCAGCGTCCAGACAACGACCCAACAGGCCAAGCTCCTAGAAGCTCTTATAACTTTAGAAGAGGCACTAGAGGGCTGCCTTCCCTACCCTACTCTCTCAATCTGTTCTACTCCTCTCCTTTTGTTTTCCAACTTCATCCCCCTCTCTTGTTCTGTTTTCCTTTTCCTCTCTCCCTTATCCTCCAGGATTCCCTCACTTCCTTCTGGTCCCACTCTCCTGGGTTACTCCCCTTCAGCTCTGCCTCTGCTTGGTTTCACTGCTCTTTCCTCTTGGTTCTCACTCCCTTACTTTGCTCTCAACACCCCTATGATTTTCTTCTACCCAGATTATCCATTCTGGTCTGTGTTGATGCCTCACAATGTGGAAGCTTTGCTGACTCATTTCCCAGAAGACCACTCCTCTGATCAACATGCAGCTCCACCAGTAGAGCACTAATCACAGCAATGGCCGGGGCGGGGCAGATCTGAACTTCCACAACATGGGGCAGCTGATGAATATCAGGCTGTCCTGGATGAGTTAGGACATTTCTTGGGCATATTCTGAGACACAGAAAAATGCACAATCCCAGGGAAAAAAATCATCAAAATTCAGATTTGATAGTGGGACTGGCTGAACAGAGAGCTCTTAGCTATTTTTAGTCCTCGCACTCTGCCCTCTCCACTGACTTCCTCCCATCACCCTTCAGCCTTGCCTCACAGTGACTCTGCAGCCAAGACCTCAGAGAGGCCACTCCCTTTCCCACCAGGGTATGTCTACACTGTAGCTGGAGGTGTGACTGCAGCTTGGTTAAATATGTTAGTTTTAATCTAGCTATCACAGCTAAAAATAGGTGAAGATGCGGAGGCCTGGGGTTCTGCGTGGGCTGTTCCAGACTGCCTGGGACCCCAGATACAGATGCATGTTGCTAGCCCATGCTGAAGCCTGTGCCGCTGCAATGTCACAGTTATTTTTAGCTGCGCTGACTAGATTAAAGCTAGTGTGGGTCTGGTTACCCATGCTGCAAACACATCTCCCTCATTCTCATCCCTTCTGGCCTGGGGAGGGGAGAGCTGATCTCAGAACTGAAAGGAGCTGTTCCTAAGTCGGTGGGGCAGCCAGAATTTGAAAACTTCATTGTGATTCCTGGGTTAGCGATGACTGGGCTGTGTCAATGAATCTGCTTCCTACCTATCTTGCCAAAATAGTTCCCACTGGAGCTGCTCACACAGCAAACCAAAGTTAGCGGTGATGGAAGTGGTGGGGTAGATTACGGGTATGAGTCGGTCAGAAAAATGGGTGAAAGCCACTTGTACCGATTTGGCATTCAGTGAGTGGACAAAATGAGTAATTTACACCAACTTGGCGGTGTTATTTTACAGTACCCAGGAGTTGTATTGTGAAGGGACCAAACTCAATCCCTGATATAGGAAGGCGTTACTCCACTGAAGTCAATGGGCATTGTGGCCACTTACAGCAGGGCTTAATTCGGCCCCAGAAAAGGGGGAAGATGGTGCAAAGTAAGTTTAAAAGTGTGGACCAGCTCCCATTCCCATTTAAGTCAGTGGAAATTTTGTCATTGCCTTCACTGGGAGCAGAATTGGAGCCTGTGTGTGGGTTTAGGGAAATATGCTTTCTCTTTCAGCTTCTTGTGAATTGTTTGGCTTGTGTGTTACACTCATTTGCACACTCGCTGAATCACACATTGGTACATGCTACTTTTTTACCTACTTAGACTACATTGTCTGCCCACCTTACACTTGATATTTTATTTAGACCACCATTTACATCACTCCTACACTTGGCCCAGACTCTTTCTCAGAAGCTGAACCTGCTAGTATCAGGTTGTGTTGGCCCAATAAGTCCATGTCAAACACCTGTGAAATGCAGAAATATGCTGGGCTTCATTAGTAACTGTAACTTAGCTAACCTCAGCAACTCTTTGAAACCATTATTTCAAATGGGTGGATGTCTCCTTGTTTGTTACTCTCAGAGATGATCATTCTTATGCTTCATGGTCCCCCTCTCCTCACCCACTCTGCTTACTCCCATACCTTAGATTGCAGATCTGGCTAAGTTTGGAGTGTCTGCTTCACTTCCTGCTGTGGTGCAATAGGTTAATAACCATACCACCTTACCTTTATATCTCATCTCTCACTCTGAATTATCTCAAAGTGCTTTACAAACCCTAGACCACTTTTCCTCCCACTGAAATGCAGTTAGCTCTGGGGTGAAAAAGCAGCAGCTATTTATCAGGTTATAGCTACATTACACTCAGGGGGTGAAAGTAACTTAAAGTACTTACCGGTACGCAGGGTGGCTGGGCTCCTGGGCAAGGTGGGGGTGGGGTGGCTCTGGGCCCCCGGAAGGGTAGGGCCTCGGGCAGAAGGGGCAGGGCTGGGGCCAGACTCCCCCACCAACCCTTCAGCACTGCCCAGCCTGAACCACCCAGGGCTCCAGCGGCGATTTAAAGGGCCTGGGGCTCTGGCGGTGATTTAAAGGGCCCGGGGCTCCAGTCACTGCCGGGAGCCCTGCACCCTTTTAAATTGCTGGGCCCCAGAGCAGCTGCCCCTCCCCCCTCCCCCCGGTGTCAGCGGCTCTGCCAGTATGGTGCTTAAAGTGCTGCTAATGATTATAAAGCAACCAGGGCAGCGTTTTCATGTCTGAATTGCCTTTCACTTTGGTTTGAAGCAGAGACCAGCGTGTCCCATGAGATGCCAAGTGTGTATAGGACCCAAGGAGTTACATAGGCTGTCTCGGTAGAACTCACCACTGTGCAGAAGGCCAACATGAGGCCTTTGCACCACTGAAGTCCCACTTAAACAATGTGCTGGCCTGCTGCATAGGAGAAAATTTTGCCCTTTGTGCATAAGGCCCATCCTGCCAGCATGAAAATCTCTCTTTGAAAGGCAAAAAAGAGCATAAATACCTCTTTCCAGGCGTGTCTGCTTAGTGATAAGTGAAGGAATACCTGGAAGGATTTGATGAAGGTCCAAAGCAATGTCCGGATGCCCTCCCCACGGCTCAGGAGCTTCACGAGACGCATCACACGGAAGAGTCGGAAAAAGGTGATTGAGATGCGCGAGTTTTCCTCTGCATTCTGGAACCCATTGGCACAGAGGCAGTAGTTATAACAGCAGATGAGGAACAAAGATCCTGGGTCACAGACAACACTACGTAGGAAAAGCTCACTGCACTGTTCCCTTTCATTGTTAAAGCTCTCTGGCATTGCAGTAGCCCCAGCAGCTCAGATGGATTGATGCAGGTTTAACCTGCCTTCTATCCAAGGCTGTGGTGCCATCCTAAAAGTTCTCTGGATTTCAGTATTCCCCAGTGGAGCTGTGCAACCTCTCATCAAAACCTTCCTTTGGGTTTCTTACTGAGGGTGCCTGAACTTATGATTAGGGTCTTAAAGGTAATGGAATAGTTTTCCTGACAGTATCTTCTTATGGAGCCCTCAGTTCCCCTCTGTAATTACAGTGGCCAAGAAGTCACAATTAGACAGTGGGGGAAAAAGACAGTTTTCTTTTGGAGTTGTCTCTGAAGCTACTACATAATGTGCATCATCCAGCTGTCCTGGTTAATCTGGCACTAAGTATCCATGACGCACTTAGCCTGCTCTGCCTGGGGAATTCGGGCAGGTCCCAAGTCTGCTTTGAAGCTTAGAGGTCCCACATGAGCATAGCATGTGCTGCCACTGAGCCAAGCTCTTAGCATTGCTTGAGCCTCGGAATCAGCCTTCCCATCTCTGCAGTGGCATGGCTGTGGTTTTTGAGCTCTGCACTGTGCACTCACAGTCCTGAGCTCTGGGCCCTTCGTCTTTCTCATGACCCCTCTGTATTTCCCACAGCCTATGCACTGCGCAGTATTATTTTTAATTTTGGCTTGACAGCTCGCGCTCAGGCCGGGAGCATTTTTAAATAGTCTCTCTCCTGGCCTCTGCTTTTCTTACTGCTTCAGCCTTGTCCCTAAGCATTTCCCCCAGGGCCTGCAACCAGCTTTGACGTTCTTCATGCTTCACGTGTGCTTGGGCAATAGCTTCCCAAACAAAAAGGAGTCAGTTGCCTTGCCTTAGCTTGTGTAAGGAACCCTGCTGCCTAGCTCAAGGTGAGACAATCACTCTGCTTGGGGGAATTGTGCAGAACAGTTACAGGGTTCCCAGTTCATTTTGCCCCCTACTCCCCTGAAAATATTGTGCTAAATATATGTAGGCAGTAGTTTCCATCGGAAATGCTGTGGGAACATAACCCTGTGCTATATAGGGAGATAATCTTGTCATCCTCCTACTCACTCTGCCAGAGAAGCACATAGACACCACCTCCCTTCCCTGCTGCAAAGCCAAGAGCTTGATGCCAAGCACTGTAACATTCAGGACTCAGAAACAGTGCAGATCACCCCTTCTTAACTAGTCACCACTGTATAAACCAGGAGAGAACAGAGCTTTTGGATTTCCTATTATAGCTCAAAATAAGCAGCATCTGCTTGCATTTCTATTCCTCATGAAATCCAAGCTGTAGAAACTACTTGGATTTATATTTCTGAGATCACTAGAAAAAATTCTAGTTTCATTCAACCACTTCACAGCTGACCCTCTGTTCCAGCATGTGAGTTGCAATGGTGTGTGGCTACTTATACTTCAAGCTAGAATCACAGAGAAACATTGTGCCGTGTTTAGTAGATTAGAGCTGCGCTGGAGGTGCAGTTTTGCCTGATATACCAAGCATTTTAATCATCAGTGAAACCTCTGAGAGCAAGTGTCTTCCTCCAGCCTACAGTGTGGGATTCTGGGGACCAGTAAACCTGTGCCAATGCGAGGTAGGGGGTTCCCCATTTGTTGGCAAGGCACAGAATTCAACGTGAGGTTGTGTGGCCTCTTGCAGGCTGAGCACACTGATTAGTGAAGGAGAGATTGAGGGGACACACAACCTCCAGGAACAAACCTCAACAAGTATCCCCCCAATCTTAACATCTGCCTGCCCTCCTCCCACTTTAACACCACGAATAGTCTGTAAGCCAAATTCTCCTCTCATTTACATCAGCACAACTTCACTAAAGTCAATGGTGTGTAAATAAGAGAAGAATTTGGCTGTGAGCATTTAAATAGACATGACACTTGCCTGTCTACATCCAGGATTACTATTCAAGAAGACAACTACAAAGCTCGTGCGCCACTCCCATCCCATGTAAGCCCTCTGGCTCAATTTCCTCTAATAAACTAAATTCAAAGGAGAGTTAAGGCCAATTATTTAAAATTTTACTCCCATATGGGTAGGGCGTAATTGCACCTACTATGGCGGTGCATAAATTAGGGAATTTTTGCTTACATCTTCCATATTTGTTATGTTTACTTGGGGAGCTGGACAGTATAAGATCAGGTGACAACTACTTGGCCAGTCTGAACAGATTCCTCCTTGCTTGCTATACTCTCATTTTCCAGCAGCTCTCTGATGTGCGTATCTCTGACAGAGCAAGGAAGTTCTGCATGGCTGCACACAGAGAATGGGTTTAATACACCCCTGATGGTATGATGTTTTAAAATGTAGCCCTCAAAGGTTGTGTAGTTTTTGATTATTATTGCTTATCCTCTTCTTACACAAAAGGTGAATTTAAACTTCACTATTCTATCCATCTCAGCTCATCTGAGATTCAGAGCCCAAACCTTTATAGTAAAATTGGATTTGAAATCACATTGCAAGTCAATCCAATGTCAAATTGATATGGAAAGTTAGCTGCTAACAAGAAATCTTAACAGTTCTTGTTCTCTCTTGGTAATTCATTAGAAGGTAGGCAACAATTAATTTGACCAAAGAAAAACTCAGGATGCATGAGAAATACACATATGTAGCATATTCAGAGCTCATGTGAACACCAGACTCACACAAATACACAACACAGCAGCTTCATGCAGAGATAACTAGGCTGGGCTTGGAGAAAAAACCCATGATCAGGGGAAGAGAGTAAAGGAGTGTGAGAGGATGACTGTCACAGAAGCTGTCAGAGCGGTCTGTATTTTTGGTCTTACCATAGAGGAAGAGCATTGGGTATGTTCAGCTGGCTTTAAAGAAAGGGAGACAGAAATAAGCTGTAATAAGTCTCCAGTAAGAGGCCCGGGCTAACACAGGAGCAACAAAATGGCAGAAGAGGGCAAAATATGGGGAAAAGAATGCAAAAGTAGACTGGGCTGATTCCCTAAAGATGCAGTGGACCAAATTCAGCCCTGGCAAACGTGGATGCAACTCCCGATGAGAACTGCACCCGCTGACAGTAGATCTGAATTTGGCTCAGTGTTTTCTGGGTTTCTAGGCATCCTGAACCCTCTAGGGAGTAGAGGACAGAATGCTGCTAATACATTTCTGATATCCCAACCCTCCGACTCTAGCTAGAACTCAGAAGGGCCAACATCTCCCAGTACAGCCACTAACTGAGCTCCCCATCTCAACTTTAGGCCACTTCTGCATAAGAAGCAGCCATCTTCTAATATTTCAGTCTGATCTGCAAACCCATTTAATCCACAATAGCCCAAATCTATGACATTTTCTATTTATATGTCCCCATGTCCTAGCATACAGTTCTCAGTGATTACATTGCGGTTATTAAAACAATAGGCTGAGATAATGTAATCACTCGCTTGGCAACCCTACAATAGCCATTGCCAGCTGTAGAAAGTGGGATGGTAAAGCTGTCAATTAGCCCTCTCCATGATCTATCCTCACCCACCCCCACAAGAAAAGAAACTCCAGGGAAGTGATGGATGAGCCAATGGAGTCTGGTAGCAGCCAAGTTCCAGCTACCCCTAGAAAAACCTAATCACTCGAACACTGTACATGACCCTCTTTCTTTATTAGCCTTTGAGGCCATTTTCAGTGTGGAGATTAGTTCTGAAAAACTAATGACAGTAGCTAGTGCTCCAGGCTGTACCAGAGAGTACAAGAGAATCCAAAAATGAATGAAAACTTTATGTAGGCTCCCTTAGCTTAATCTGTAGTGACCAGCCTATGTCACAGGCGGACTGATGGAAGCATCTCTGAAGCTATTCTCTGTGGCTGCACTAGTGAGGATGGAACTCGTGCACTGCTTCTTCCCTTGCAGATGACCTCGGCCACCATGATACTTGGGACCCGAGCAAGATGCTTACGTGCATTCTGCCAATGGGAACACACTCAGGACATTGAACAAACCAAATTAGCTTTGTATTTTGTTTTTATGTAAAGTGAGGCTGTATTTTTAGATGCCCTGAACATCCAGTGACACGGGCAAATGAGGGCAATAAAAAACAAAAGCTATCCCGAGCTCCCTGGTGCTCTTTTTGGTTAACTCATTGCTTTTGCACTCTAGGGTCTTTTTGCTTTTACCCTCCTCTTTCAAGGGTCTTGCTCTTGTGTTTTCTTTTCAAGTATTAAACAAGGAAAATTTGGCTGGAATACTGAAGATGGAAATTTGCCCATACAGACATTTTTCTTACAGGCCAGATAAAGATTTTGTTTTAATGCTGCTCCACAAATTCTTCCTTTCTGACAATGGATATTTTTTTTCTTTTGGTCTGTCTTGCAAAACATTATTTTGAACTTGAGTTTTTGCTCACAGGAGAGGCCCAATCCTACCAGGTGCTGAGCTCCTGCTAGGAGGTGCGGAGCCCCGCAGGTTCCATTGAAGTCAACAGGAATCCAGGGCATTCAACGCTTCTCAGGTTGCTGTGGGAATCTTTCAGGATTACCAATATGACCAGGCTGATAACATCAGAAATAGAGTTTTCCTGTGACTGGCTGTCTCAAGAAGCCTTGTAAGTGCTGTAAAGTTACTATTCCTTACTCATAGTTCTGATATCATCAGTATTTGACCAGAATGCGAGGATAATAATAATGTAACAGTGAAAACAATTCTATATGAAAAGATATTTAAGAAGCTATGAATGCACCAAAATAGTTAGCATGTGGCCGCTAATACTGAGCAATCAGTAATCTGTTAGGTAACTATGAATCAGAGACTGTCTACTTGGTATGACTGAAGAAGCAAAGTATATCTTGGGTAATCCCTCTCCCACTCCTTGAGTAGCTGGCCTGAATTTTCAGAAAGCATCAAATATAATTTAAATGTTGATATTTCCCACAAAAAGGGCTTATAACCCAATGGAAATATTTGTTAACATCAATAGATGTCCCACCTAGTAGTCTCTAGTTAATAAAGTCTTGCTCTCTTGAAATTGTGGACACATAGTTCTCTGTGTGTGTGTGTGTGGGTGGGTGGGTGGATGGGTGTGGGTATGAGATGAGGGGATGGTGAACTGAACGTTCCAAAAGTCTGGTCTTCCGTGTTCCTTGCTGAAAATATTCTCCGATACTTCAAAAATGTTGTGAGAACTTCCATGTCCCACCATTTTTTCCACCACTGCTGGTGGATTGGTATGCAAGGACCTTGCCTGTTGTGAGTGTCAGTCCTTTACAGATCCATGAGTATCTGTTTCATCACGAGCATCCCTAGCTATGTGTGGAATGTGACCTTTTTAAACGAACTCTGTCAACTAGTGCTGGGAGGTGACCTTTTATTCCTGGCTAGTGGAATGTGGCAGTAAAACAGCAAAACTCTTTCTACTGTCACCATGAGGGACAGCCTCTAAACCAAGCAGCATGGAGCACACTCATGCCAACCGTCGCTGCTGCAGGCATGTCGTTCAAATGAGACTGCCTTTGGCTGCCGCCGCCATCTTGCTGTATAGATTTCAGTCCAACTGCAGTTTCTGGAGCAAGAATCTCACAAGCTGAAACCACAGACACTGCCAAAATGTTTTCCTAATTCCACTGAGGCAAGGCCCTGCGGACTGGAGCAGAGACATCTGAGGACATGCTGCTGGTGCATAAGAGTGAACACAGCTAACTATGTCACAGAGATAGCTATTTGTAGTTTCCCTGCCAGTCCTATGCATTGTGAAGCACCACTGGTTTTGGAGTGGATTAGGAAAGATTCAGGGCATCTAGTACCCGAGCTGCTTGTCCTAGAAGAGTGGAGGAACACTGAAGTCACACAGGCTCACAGGGGTTTAAGCAGTGCCGGTAGGTACTTGGAAATGAAGTTTAAATATCAGTATATAAATTCCATATGAATGGACAATAAAGTTCCCTTAAAATAAACAGAGGCTCATTTATAAGAAGCCTAGGAACTATGTACAAAAGCAGATTCTTAAAGAAGAGTTTTGGGCATGTGTACCAATTTATCAATAAGACCTTGGCTTTACCATCTGTTATCTGCTGCCTCCCGTTCATGTGCACATACTCTAACCTGCTTTGGCTGCCCCAAACCAGGCTTGTCATCTCAAGACTGGGATCTGAGGCCAGGCAGGCTTTGGTGCAGAGTAATGTGCACATAACTGAATGATGGATGGGCAGCAGTGGCATTTTGGTGTCCACTCCAGAGGCTGTGCCCTGAGCCAACTAGTATTGTAGAGAGAAAGAACCTAGAGGATGTCACAGAAACCTGCACAGCCAGTCCTGAGACAGTTAAAAGTGGGTGGGAACCTCTGTGTTAAGTATTTATTAACTGATTGATCAGACACTATAAGTTGCACTTGCAACTACAAAGGAAGGAGACACCCAGGGCAAGCTTCTTCTTGCATAAAGAAGAAGCCATACATTTGAAGAAGTAGGTCATAGCCCACGAAAGCTTATGCTCTAATAAATTTGTTTGTCTTTAAGGTGCCATAAGACTCCTCGTTGTTCTTGCATTACGACATTCATTAAGTCAAACATAATGTAAGTTGTAAATGATTGGCCTATATGTTGTTGTTGTTTTTTTACTTTACCGCATTTATAAGAGGTAGACAGACTGGGAGCAGGAGCAGAGGAGAAACAGAGGGCTCCTGTGGTGTTAGAGGCTGGAAAAGGACTCAGTAGAATGAAGGCTGAGGGAGAGCTGGAGCATACCTGGAAATGAATGGTTACTTACCTTACAGTAATTGTGGTTCTTCAAGATGATATTGTCTGTGGATCCCATTGTAGGTGTGCATGTACCCCATGTGTGGAAGATATGAATCTTTTGAATAGCAGGGTCTATCAAGGCCACCAATGTGCCATGGTGTCTTTGTGCCCCGCCCCAAAGCACATGGTAGAGCAGTCACAACTGGCCCCCAATTCCCTTGCTAATATAGAATCCCAAATAAGGAGGACTCTGAAAAAGTGGGGATGGAAGGCGGGTTTGTGGAATCCACGCAGACGGCAACATCTCAAAGAACCACAGTTGCTATAAGGTAAGTAACTGTTCTCTTCTTCGAGTATGTGTCTGTGGGGATCACACTCTAGGTGACTGATAAGCAATGACCCATCTGGAAAGTAGGACTGATGAGCCCTGACTGTCACTAACTGAACAACAATTGTAACACTTTCCTACTGAATTGGGCATTTGATCTTGCAGCCAGGTCAAGGGCATCGTGTTTAACAAAAGTAAGACTATTACACCAGATAGCTGCCTTGCAAATTCTGGATTCAGGGATGTTCCTGATGCAAGCAGAGAATGCGGCTGGTGCTCCACTGGAGTGAGTGTTAACATTTGGAGGGAGAGGCTTATCAGTCATATGATAGCAGCTTTATATACACTGCATAATCCATTTGAAAATTCTCTGAGAGGAGATAGCTTGATTCTTGGAAGCACCAGGGAAGACAATAAAAGGATCGGGAGACAGTCTGTTCTGTCAAGATAGTATCACAAGGCCCTTGAAACAAGGTGTGGCGTTTCTTATCTCCTGTCTGTTTTTACACATCACGCTTGGAATCTAGGGAATCAAAGGAAATGCACTAGACATTGATCCCACAATATAAGGAAGGTATCATGTAATGATCCCAGTCTCATGTCTCCCCTGGAACAAAAGGTTGGATGTTTCATGTGATCTTTTGTGGCAAAGAAGCCAATAATGGGATTTCCCCAGAGGTGAAATATTGGTTTGATGATGGAGCTCTTCAGAGACCACTTGTGATTGGTGGTGGATTGTCTGCTCAAGAAGCCTGCTAGGTTGTTGCTGACTCCTAGAAGATGAAGAGAAACTGTGATTAATGGTTATCCTGTATTGTT